AGCCCCCCCCCCCCCTGACACCGGTCTTGCAAAACAGCTTTGCAGTTATTCCTTCAGTGAATACTTATAAAAGCCCAAATGAATATGCTTATATCGTTCACCTTTATAAGCGTGATTACTATTGTCAAACAACAAGACGTTCACTCCTTGTATAACTGTACCAACAGGAAGTTAATCGATTCTAAGACAAATACAATGACAAAATGAACTGAATAAGACATTCCATTCAAAATTCCACAAAAATGCCCCGACACCATGATCTGCGTCATTGCTCCAAGCCCAACTGTGTACATAAAACTAGTAGACTATATACGAGTTTACTGCCAAAATGAAACATGTCCACTTCCCGTTTTGAACTCATTACACAAAAAAACCTATATAAGTTCGTCAAAATCGGGCATGTTTGGGATCGGATTAATTCACGAGACAATAATTTGGTTCAATGATCATTCATGTATCACCACTGACAGGCACTTGACAGTAAAAGCACCGCATCAATCGGGTTTGGTGAGTAACTGATATCTGGATAGTAATCCTTCAGTTGTGTCCTCAAATCCATGTGATATTACTTATTAGCTAATACCCGACATGTTTCGACTCAATTATGTGGTAGCAGGATGTGATAACTGAGGCCTACCGTAATCCTCTTTACAACCCTTCAGTTTTGTATATTCAAAGTCGGGCATCATGTTTTCTTCTTCAACGACCTACTCACTCTGGCTATCTCCGTACGTCAGTTGAGATATTACTAGGCGCCAAGTTGTTTTCTTCGGAGATGAGAATGATCCAGTAATACAACAGCATAGAATAAGCTGTTCTCACTGAAAATGCGAAACCTCGGATCATTTTTGAGTATACTATGTTTTAAAAAAGACAATATTCTGTTTTCCTGTGGTTGAATAGCACAAATAATTCATTTCCTGTGATACAAAACCATATCATTTGAGATGATTTTGTTCTGGAAGATGTTTCAAGCACCACTAGTGTTCCTGAGAAGTCTAAGTCAAAGTTTTATTGTGGGCGATTTAACAAAACTAAAGCTTATTATGCCCCATGGGATTTTTACATAATATTTTGAATGACTTCACAAACAGAAAATAATAATAATAATGTGCATGATAACTCATGGATGTCGAAATTTTAAGTGTTCCAAAGCTTTATCAAGTTGCGGTTTAAATAATTCCATTGTAAGAGCACACGCTATATCGGATGGAGGAGAATTCCATACGCCACATACTCTGACTGCAAACGAGTGATACCGACAATCAAGGCGGCTGTTCTGGGTCTTCAACTTTAGTGGATGTCCCCTGAGGTGATCATTTGGAAATAAAGTCAGCAGAGAACGGCAAGGGTGGTTGGGTTGATTCAGTATGTGATATGTCAAGATTAGGTGTTCCCGAAGTCAGCGGTATTCAGATGAGTAGAGGCTCAACATTTGCAGTTTGTCGGAGTATGTCTTGTTATACAGACCTTTTACCAATTTATTACTGGATTCAGAAGCCAGTTATCAGATAGGATGAACTGATCAACAAAATTGAAAAACATTTAAGTGATTGGGACAAACAAGGTATAAAAATTGCATGCCTTCATTTGTGGTCTGTTGAGCAAACAGGTACCGCATCGTTTGATATTCTAAACACATGAATAGAAGAAATGGCAACGTTTTTCGTCGTATGGTACGCACATGTTAATTTTATGAGCCAATAAGGTATCGATGTAAACGAGTGAAAGTGGATTCGATGTAGCACGGAAATAAAATGAGAACTGTTTAATCACCACAGCCCGACAATTTAAAATTAACCCATCCAATTCTAAAAATTATTATGCCCCTATTCACAGCCTATTTTTAATGCATTATATTCTTCACAAACCCAAATCTCAACCACTCCTCTGAACGGTCACCGTAAGTTTATCAAAACAATGGCTGAAATTCGAAGGCCTTTTAAAATTTTTCTCTTCTTCATTTGCTATTCTCGGTGAATAAACTTCCTCGATAATAAATAAGATTACAGAATAAGCCATTGATAAATCACAATCTGTGCTCTGTGAAGATTTTTCCATTCCATGAAACATTCACTATCCACAGAATGATGAGAATTATGATAGATTTTCGGGTTTGTGAATAACTAAGAGCTGCCAGTCTACGATCAATAGAAATGGTCTAATATAACCATCCCATCGATGTATATAACACGAAAAGGTCAGGTAGCCAGATTTCTTGAAACGGGTTACTCTTGACAACTGAAGACAGATGTAAACTATAGTGGAACATATGATACTTCACGCAATTTTGAGCACAAACGGTGATTGACTTATATAGACCTTAGTAACACCAGATGTAACCGACATGGTTGAAGACCAAATGTTATGACGAAAGATTGAAAAGCTTGAGAGTCGTCCAGAAACAGAAACAGGTGACATGGTAAACGTGCCAGTTACGGCTTGACTCAGGCGTCAGTTTTTCAGCTTCAGAGTTTGTAATACCTGGAACTCTCTTACACCTCAGGTTGTTTATGCTCCAATCATCGATTCATTCATGTTACGGCTCGACGATGCACTGAAACACCTAACTTTTCAGCACCCGTGAGTGAACATAATCATCTGCAGTTTAGTTGTACTACCAACTGAATCCTGTGTGTACAGATCCTATGGGATTCAATAAGCATCAGCATTGTAACTTACTCATAACAAAAATTTTGATTTGATATTCAAGAGAGATTTTACGATGCAATAGGGAAAAAGCTTGACATCCTTTTCCTAATTGCAAAAAGTATATACGTGTCCCCATCGATTAGATCATT